CACCAGCACTTTGGGGCCTTCCTGGGAACCAGAGGCTTGGATCCAGGGACCGGACCCCACTCCCACGTCCAGGCAAACTGCCAGTGCCTCGGGGCCAGCATGGGGACTCGAGGCACAGAGAAGGGGACTGGACCCTCCTCCCACAACCAGACACACCACGCCAGCACCTCGAGGCCTGCCCAGGGACCCAAGGCATGGAGAAGGGGACCGGACCTCTCTCCTACAACCAGGAACACCATGCCAGCACTTTGGAGCCTGCCTGGGGACCCGAGGTATGGAGTAGGGGACCAGACCTGTCTCCCACAACCAGGAACACCTAGCCAGCACCTTGGGTCCTGCCCAGTGACCCGAGGTATGGAGCCAGGGACTAGACCCTCCACCCACAACCAGGCACACCATGCCAGCACCTCAGGGCCTGCCCAGGGACCCAGGGCATGGAGAAGGGGACCGGACCTCTCTCCCACAACCAGGCACACCATGCCAGCACCTCGGGGCCCACCCAGGGTCCCGAAGCATGGAGAAGGTGACCAGACCTCTCTCCCACAACCAGGGACACTGTACAAGCGTCTCAGGGCCCGGCCGGGGACCCAAGGCATGGAGAAAGGGACTGGACCCCCCTCCTCCAGCCAGGCACACCAAGCCAGCTCCTTGGGTCTCACCTGGTGACCCGAGGCATGGAGAAGGGGACTGAATGCACCTCCTACAACCTTGCACATGGCACCAGTGACTCGGGGCTTGCCCAGGGACCAGAGACACCACACAACCAGGCATCCCGCCAGTGCCAAGGAGCATACTAGAAACAGCACCTCCATGTAGGTGGCCCACTGCAGCCTCCACAAAAACCATGGCTGCCGCGAGCGCAACTAGACACCACAAGCACCATGCAAATGGTCCGCCAACCACTGAAGTGCATTCACACAAGGAGAGGCACCAGCAGTCAAAGAAAAGAAGAGCCTGTCTCTTTCCACAAAGCCCATTTCAGAGTGACAGAAGCAGCATCTGCTCTATGATAATATTGGGGGACCCGATCACATCTCTCAGTATTGGACAGACCATCTAGGCAACAAATTAACAGAGTAACCATGATTCTTTCAGAAGGAGAGAAGAAATCTAGGCTAATTAGATGGGGGGGAAGGGAGGGAATGGGGGAAGGGGAGAGATTGGACAAGGGGCATAAAGAATAATTGCATATGCTAGTAATATTGATTTGATCAACATATCTTAATGTTCAACGCCCAAAATATGTATAATCGATTTTGATTCAATAAATAAAATAAATTTAAAAAAACAAAAAGAAAGCTGACTTTGTTCTTGTCAGGCTTTATCATGGCTGGTGCTGGGCTGGCATGTGGAATAAAGTTTTATGGTGCCAGGAAGCTGTTTCACATGTCCCCTCACACAGGATAGTAACTGTTTTTCCTCCAGACGTAACCGTGAGGAAGCCTCTCCCTCCCGCTCTGTGGGGGTGGCCCTCCTGGTGGGTTACTGCTCATCATTCCCAGGGTGTAGTAGGTGCTGATGCACCAGCCTCGCTTTACTTCTGTTTTCCCAGCCTCCGTGATATAAATGCAAGTGTTTTATATCCGCTAAGAGAAAACCAGGCATTTGACCGCCTCTGTTTTCCTATGTTTAGCAACTGGCATTTACACAATAGATTTTCACGTATAACAGTACATCCCTTAACCATGGTAATTAAAATCATCTTGAATAGATGTGCTTACACTTAATTATGGATTTTATGTTCTAGTTGATGTAAGCTTGTTGCACATTTATGTTTTTTAGGCTTGTTTATGGCTGAATGTAGATGTTTAAAAGTTATCATTTTTCAGTTTCTTTTAAGAAAAGGCTTGTATAATTATGATTTTTTTTTCTTGTAACATAATTCATTTTAACATTGCCACCATCAGTCAAGCACTAATATAAAGACTTGGATACTGTTTAATTAGTGTGCTGTGACAGGCAAAAAACATGTTGTGAACATTATATAAACTTACAGAATATGAAAATTCTGATGGACTGTTTTAGGTTGCCAGGAAATACTGTCTGGTAAAAGAGGGTAAAAAGATGAATTACCCGAGACTGAATTTTATTTCACTTCTGTTTTTTGGAGACATTCTTAACATAAATATTGTACACCGTGACCCCAGAAATAAGGAACAAAAAGGATGTGTATTCCCTTTTCCTCTGCAGTGCTCTCTTATGAAACAAAATTCAATGAGATATTCACAATTAACATGTGAAAAGATGTTCACCATCATTAGCTATTAGGGAAATGCAAATTAAAATCAATATCACTACACACCTGTCATCAAGGCTAAAATAAAATAGTGATAAAGCCACGTTGTGGCAAGGATGCCAAACAACTGGCTCTCTCACACGTTGCTGGTGGGAACGTAGGATGGTACAGCAACTCTGGGAAGCAGTTTGACGGTGTTCTAAAAACTAAGCATGCAGTTCCTGGGCATTTATCCCAGTGAAATGAACTTATTCTCACACAAAAACCTGTACATGAATGTTTATAATAGCAACTTTATTTGTAATAGACAAATACAAATAAAGGAAACAGTTCAGCTGTTCCTTAGCAGGTGAACGATTGAACAAACTGCAGTCCATCCACCCCATGGAATACTACTCAGCAGCAGAAAGGAACAAACTGTTGATACACACAACAGCCTGGATGAATCTCCAGAGAAATATGCTAGGTGAAGAAAGGTAATCCCAAAAGGTTACATACTGTGTGATTTCATTTATATAACTTTCTCTTAAAAATGACAAGAAGTATAGAAATGGAGAACAGATTAGTGGTTGCCAGGGATTAAGGAAGGAGTGAGGGGGGAGGGAAGTGGGTGTGGCTGCAAAAGGGCAACAGGGAGGGGTCCCTGTGATGGTGGAATGTTCTGAATCTTAACTGCATCTGCACTGATATCCTGATAGTGATGTTGCACCAGGGTTCCCCAGTTAGGGGAAACTGAGTGAAGGATGCATGGGATCTAGCTGTATTTTTTCTTACACCTACATGTAAGTCTACAGTGATCTCAAAATAGAAAGGTTGATCTTAAAAAATATGAGATATTATAGGAATATTCTGATGAAAAATTATTTCCTCCACATATGTGTTTGTTATTCTTTTAGACTCATTTATTGGTGGTTCATTTGATCATTTTCTTACACCTACATGTAAGTCTACAGTGATCTCAAAATAGAAAGGTTGATCTTAAAAAAATATGAGATATAGGAATATTCTGATGAAAAATTATTTCCTCCACATATGTGTTTGTTATTCTTTTAGACTCATTTATTGGTGGTTCATTTGATCGTTCCTTCATTCATTCAAGAAATAATTATTGAGCACTTGATATGTGCTTAATTTGGCCTTCCTATCGAAGGCAATTATTCCAAAATCAAAATTATCAGCAGATTTTAATTACTGTATAGTATAATATAATACCGTGTAAAGGATGCCACCTTATTTTGTTATTTAGTAGTAAGTTTTGTAGCCGGTTTACATTGCTCAGAGCCAGCTTTTCTGTAGATGCATTTTGGGACTTTGGTAACATTAGCGTTAAAATATTAAGTTTTTTCAGGCTATTATTCCTGTGGCTGTGTTTCATGGTGTAGAGCCAATGAGCCTTGATTACATATTCATCTGTGTATAAAAGCAGAAAAATTTTTTGAGTAGAATCAGCGTTCTGTATGGGCTCTTGCTCATCTGTGAAAAGTAGGGTGAATTTTTTGCAGGCAGGTGTGCTGACAGGCCCCTGAGTTTTCCAGGGGGATGGCGGGGGAGGGTGGCGTTTTTTCTCCCAGTTCAGCTTTGGGCTTACCTGGCTACACAGAATGTTCCTTCTGGAATTTGTCAGAGCATGGAACTTTGAGATCAAGACAGCTCCAAAGCTGGGTTTAGAGAGAAACAACTGTGCTTATGGTGAACAACCTAGAAAATAGTTTGTCAGTCCTGTGCTTCTGTGAAAGTCAGCCTCTGAATTAGCCAGAGCAATGGAGGGTCTCTTGTCTTGGGGACTCTGGTCCTCAGGAGAATGACTTTCACTGAATTGTGCTTTGACATAATGTTAGGGGTGTCAGTGTCTAACAAATGAAATGTGTATTTGATAGTTAGAAGTGAAATCTGACAACTTCAGGACTATTTGGGAGATTTTTTTGTATTAGTGGAAGAATGGGAGGGTAGGCCAAGGAGATAAAAGCCAGCCTTACTTGCTTCAGCTGCAACCCTCTCCATCTTTGTCCATTTCTAGAGACCCCTGGGATCCTTATTTGAATAGTAAATTGAGGTTGAAGAACAAGATTAAAATCCTTTTCTGTGCTTTGAACTCTGTGGAACAGGAGTGTATGTTCCAGTGAGTTGTGTTGAGGTGCTGAAGGGATTTTCCCTATGTTATGAATGGGTTAGACCCGGGCTAACTCACCAGAGTTTATGTAATCTAACATGTTTTTGAATCATAATGTTCCGTTAATAGTTTAGTACAGAACCAGCTTTCACTTATTATATTGTTTCTTTCAGAAGATGAGTGTCCGTTTCTCTTTGGTGTGATCTTCCTTTGTTTTCCCTGCTTGGCTGCCATGGCCATAGCAGACGTAGTAACCCCAGGTTCCAATGGCTTTTGGCAAGAGGGCAACGGTGGTGGTCAGGGTTCTTTGGTGATTCTGTGCGGTCCTGAACTTTGGTGACAGATTTCTAATGGCAGTTGGCACTATCGTAATGGTGGGAAAGGAAAGGGAGTTTCTGCATGCCTCAGGCCCTGGCTGGGACAGCCTCTCATCCAGAGGAGACAGTTTGGGATTGTCCATGCTTGGAAATGTTAAAAACGGTAATAGCATGAGTCTAATCGCTTCAAAATTAGCAAGGTTAATAATGACATGAAATTTGGTATACAAATGAGCAACGTACTTTTAGTCACTATTGTTATTTTTTTGTCATAGTCATTAGCTCCACAAATTCAATGTTAACATCTCATCTAATTTTTTTTTTCTTGTAGTCTCAAACCATGAATTATGTGGGACAGCTGGCTGGGCAGGTGATTGTCACCGTGAAGGAACTCTACAAGGGCATTAACCAAGCCACTCTGTCTGGGTGCATCGATGTCATTGTGGTGCAGCAGCAGGATGGCACCTATCAGTGTTCGCCTTTTCATGTTCGGTTTGGGAAGCTGGGAGTCCTGAGATCCAAAGAGAAGGTGGTGAGTGCGGTGCTGCATAGCCTGTCCTCGAGGAGGGGGGAGTTAGTGTCAGTGGGCACATCGCTACTGTGAGCCTTTTGAGCCCCTGCCCCCCCCTTTCTTTTTAATCTGAATGATGACAAAGACATTGGTATGATTCAACCTTTATGTATTGGTTTTGAAGTTGTTTCTAAATTCCAAAAGCCCTACTACAGGAAGTCTCTCAAGGGAAAAAGAAAGAAAATTGTTATGATAATCCTACATGTTGCAACTCAGAAGAGCAAAACAGAAAACCGACTTAATAAATGGGGAAGTTAGGTGTATTTAGAAAAAGAAAGTTTTCCTTTACTTTATACAGCACTTTACAATGTTTAGGGTAATACCTTCATACTAATTGTGAGTGAAATAGGCCGAAGTCATCAAGAAAACATTTGTTTATAGGAAATTGACTAATGCCACATTTTATTTGTTTTGAGAAAGCTGTAAAATCTTACTTGTAATCTAAATTCTGTTATTGATACCAGGTCTTGTCCCCAAATCTGACTGAAATGCTAACTCACAGACCATAGGCTGGTTGCCTTTCATTTGTGTTAGGGAAGATTCATTCAGGAAGAAGGTATTTATGTTGGTTTTTCTTTTCTTTTCTTTTTTTTTTTTATGTCCTCTTCCCTTCAGGTTATCGAGAATTAGAAGGCTTGCTGGTATATATGTTGTCAGTGAAGTTAGAAAACTGAGCTAGTGATAAAACTTTTTAGGTACATGATAGTATTTTCCTTTCTACTCTTTCCCCACAGAATCTACCTAAGTAACGTAGGGAGGTTTTTGTTTTCTGGGTTTCTTTAAACCTGGCAGAAGCCATTTATTACCAAACTAATTTATTTCTCAGAGTCCGAAACTTTTTATGAGCAGTTTCCCTGGTCGGGATGGAGCTTCTTAAGCTTCAAATGCAAGTTTGAAGTACTGTGGATGCAGACACAACCGTCTTCACTGCTGCTATAGCTCTTGCCATCGTGATGGAAGGCAACACTGTTCATAGGTCCAAAGTGACCCTTGACTTTTCCAAACTCTTCTTCAAAGGCAAAATGGAAGAACCTGGCCTCAAACTTGCCAATCCTGGTGGAGGCTGTGGTTACATCCATGGCTTCCTGATCACTGCCCAGCACCACAAGGTCATAGTTCAGGGAGAGGGCAGCTGAGATGACAGGACATTCTGTCTGGCAAGTCTTCTGTTGTTTAATGGTTGTGAAATCAAAGAGCTTAGCCATGTTGTCCTTGCATGTGGTGAAAAACGTGGTCATGTCCCTAGATAACTGAATGTTATTGATCACATAATTTATTGTGCTCCTTAACATTGACTAATACCTCTCCAGACTTGGCACTGTACTGGTTTAACTCTACATGCACTCCCTCCAGGGATCCCCAGAGAGCACTGGTGATCTTTACGTCATTGCAAGGGATCTTCATGTAGGGCCCTGTGTTGTCGATCTGGCTCAGGTCTCGCAGGTCATAGAAGCTGACAAAACACTGACTGCCCATTTGCTTGTCCATAGAGAACATGGTAACATTGCCCCCAAAGTCAAAACCACAGGTTTGGACAGCTGAGTTGGTCTTGAGTTAGGGCCAGCTGCTTCCCTGTTTCACAGTCCCAGAGATGGCAGCTGTTGTTAGCTGAGCTGGTGAGGGCATGCTTGGTGTTCCTGTCAGTGTCCATATGCTGCACAGCTCCAGTATGGCCCATTAGGTGCCCAGCCTCTCACCGTTCACAGTACCATACATAGTCAATAGGCTCCTTGGCCACGGTAAAGAGGAGGTCTCCTTCACGATTATATTTAATCTGCATAATGGACCACTCATGGCTCTGCAGCAGGATCAGCTTCATCCCAGTGGTGATGCAAGGAAAGCAGCAACATTGTAGGGAGGTTCTATCAAGATTTTAAAGCAAAATAGAAGATCCTCAATATTTTCTGGCACAGATCTTACAACATGTGTTAGGGGACCACTGGCATAAATTGGAAGCATCTATTTTCAGCTTTTTGCTCTTTCACATAGCCGATGTTATTTTTTAAATTGAAGTTTCCCTCCATTTAATTAAACATGTTATTTTGAGAGTAAAAGAAAACGGATTTCACAAAACTAGATATTCTTTTTTTTTCTCTCCAAGAAAAGCATCTCATTTCTAAGTGTTACAAAATCGGTTTCCGCTGGAGAGCCATGTTTCAGGCTGGTAGGGTTTTGTGCAATCTGGCCTTTGTTCAGAGTCACCCTTTAGAAAGGAAAAGCAGTTGCAATTTACTTAGTGACGTGGAAACTCTCCATTGCAAAACAATGTTGTTTAGCTTCACTGGAATTTTTTCTTTCTTTCTGGTAATACTAACTTTCAGACTGGATCTGTTTTGAGGGAATCAGCAGCAGACTGTTTATGCACTGCAATTTCTCATTAGTTGTACAAGGACCTATTTGTAAAACTGCTTTCAATGCTTTTTTTTTTTAATGGGTGAGGATGGCCAGGATTGTGGTTTTGGATCAGCAGATTTTGGCTTTTTAAAATGAAACCTACAGGCAGATGTGCTATATATAAGGACTTGTGCATCTGTAAATGGTGACTGAGCAGATAAAATACCTTTTTCTGTATGCTGTGTGCCTCTAATTCAGGAAGTAATACAATTCCTGTGCAAAGCTACATAATTTATTGTTTTAAATATCTTGTCAAACCCTTGAATAGGATTGCATCCATGAGATACAGAGGAAATTCCTTCTTTCCCACTCCCTCCCTGTATCCCAGAAACACAAAGGATATGTTTGGAAAGAAATTTGGCCATTTGATTTACCAGGCTTTCCTGTGACAGTAAAACTGAAAAATGTCTGCCTTGAGATATACTGGCAATTTGCATTAACTGTTTGTCTTATTTTAAGTCAGTTTGGGTTAGGAAAGCTGTTCATTGATTTTAAACTAAGACCCCAAATTTTCAAGTATGGCAACACCTATCAAGTAGACTTAAATCATAACTCCCTTAAAAGCACTGTTTAGAGATATGCAGTACGGTAATTTTTCCACTGCCATTGATACATTTCTTGTTTGATAGAACACCAACATTCTTATTATATTTCCTAACTCAGCGCTGTGTTTAGAGGCTGTTAAAGGTATTATCAGAATTCTCTTTTTCTTTCTCCACCTCTCAGCTCTGCTTCCATTTGTGTGGTTCTCGCTAACGTAAGGTGGCTGCTAGTACTCCAGGCTCACTTCCCATTTACTCAGCCCCAGTGGAAAGAGAGCTATAGTCTTCCTGTCAGTCTTGGAGCACATATATCTCAGGGACCAGTCACTGTGGCTGAGGATGGGATATATTATTGATTGACCTGGCTTGGACAACAGCCCCATCTACTCCCTGAAGCCACGCCTAAGCGTGCAGTGTGAGGTGGAAGATGAATTGATCCCCAAAAGACATCGGAGATATTCTTACTGGAAGAATTGTATGCAAATTGAGTGTCTGCTACATCAAGCATTTCTCAGAGTGTACCAGTTCCATTTCAACATCTCAGTCATATATGTTGAGCAAGACGGAGCCACAGTTTAGGAAGCTTGACTTTATGGAAATGAATGGTTATTTTAGAAACCAGTTTACTAGCATTTAGTACATTAAGATGAGCATCCTCTTTAAAATAACCAACTTGGGAAGCATTTATTACAGCTTGATGCTGTCTCTCAAAATATTTTTACAACATTTTCTTGGGTAGCCTGAAGAACTCATGGCATATTCTTTTAATTATCCTCAATATTTGCACAATTTGATATTAGATTTAATTTTTGGAAAGACCAAACTCCATTCAAAGTCAAATCAAGACAGTAAAGTAAGTAGTCCTACTGAGAAATGTCATATTTGGTCAATAAACTGAATGGCTGTGAAATGGAAGATGGTGTATACATAGTTTAGACTCTAATTATTCCATCTTCTCAGCTACATTGGATAAATGGATAACCTCCAGAAATGAAAATTTTGAAGAATATTAGTTTGAGTCTATTTTTTATCAAACAGAACTACTAAATATTTCATTTGTATTGTTTAACCTAAACAAAGAGTTTATATAGCAACAAATCAACAGTCAGTAAACATTCTTCCTGTGATTATAGAAGAAGCTCTATTCTTGTAGCTGCCTCTGAAATCTTGTACGACTCTAGATGCTTAAGTGACTTCTACCAGCCTGAGTTGCTTTGAAGTAAATATTCACAGTAATATAAAACGTTAAGGAGGCTGACTGGGAAATGAGTTGGAGTTAATTAACATTTGTCTTATTGAAATTGGATTTATGCAGCCGTTTCTTTTAAAAAGTAAAAGGAAAATGAGTTTCTGTGTAAAGGAATCATTTCATTAACACTTCTTAAATTACATAGGATTTTTTAAATTGTTAATTGTCCATTTCCCCATTTTATTTAATAACATTGCTCATTCTTTTTTTTTTTTTTTTTCTTTTTTTTTTTTTTTCTTTTTTTTTTTTTTTCTTTTTTTTTTTTTTTCTTTTTTTTTTTTTTTCTTTTTTTTTTTTTTTCTTTTTTTTTTTTTTTCTTTTTTTTTTTTTTTCTTTTTTTTTTTTTTTCTTTTTTTTTTTTTTTTTGCTGCTTTTTTGTTTATAATTGACATACAGTAAACTGCACAAATTTAAAGGATACACTTTGATACATTTTTAACATATGTTTACATCTGTGAAACTATCACCACTATCAAGGTAAGGGACATTTTGTTGTCCTGTCTTCTTACTCTCCTCTAATCTGTGACAGTTCCTCAGCTTTGTTTTTCATGATGTTGACTTCTTTTAAAACTTCTTATTTTTGAGTTAATTTCAGACTTTTACAGACAAGTTTCAAGTGTAATTTTGTAAGTTTTCATACATTTTCAGCCACTAATGTTAACATTTTACATGGCCGTTGTACAATTATCAGAACCAGGAAATTAACATTGGTATATAATACTATTAACTGAAGACCTCAACCAGATTTCACTAGTGTTTCCACTACTGTCCTCTTTCTGTTCCAGGATCCTGTTCAGAATCCCACGTTGCTTTTTATCCTGCATTCTCTTACAGTTCCTAACTCTTTCCTTATGACTTTGACTGTTAAAGAGTATAGAACACTTATGTAGACTGTCCCTCAATTTGAATTTGTCTTTTTTTTTTTTTAATTGGAGAATAGTACCGTATTTAGAAACAAAGATCTGGTACCGAGACGCGCTCATTACTACTGAAGTATCATTGCTCCTAGGCTGTCTCAGCTGGCAGAACTAGGAAATGTTTGTATATACATACACACATGGATGTCTACATTTCCCTGTAAAAATAATGAGTTCACACGGATTCTTCTGATTCCAGTCCATCACACAGACTTCCTCTCCCTCTACTTATTTGAAATATTTTTCTCTGACAGTGGAAAATGTGGCTCTGATTATCCACAATATACTTATTTGCTCAATCCTAGAAAACACAAAATAGTTTCAGAATTGCTAACCCACATCTGCCAAGAAAATTAAGAAAAAATTATTAACTACCATACAATATTTGTTTATAGCTCTCTCTCTATAAAAATGTGTCACAACGCTGTTTTCCAAAGTTACTTAGGTTAGTTCTTTTCTTCCTCACTCCCTTCAGTGTGGTTATAGTATTCATATATAGGATTTTATAAGAAGCATTTTGACAACATATGTCTGCCTAATTTTTTTTTAAGTGTGTATTACTTATCCCATCATTGCCTGGCTTCTAGGGAGACAGAGCTGCCATCAGGCACTGGGCGTGAACCAGCGTGCAGTCTCTAGTCCGACAGGGTAGTTGGCCCCTGCTGGGAAGACCCAGCTGATGATGCAGTTCGTTCCCACCAGAAGGCTTGGGCCAAGCCAAGCACATGTACGTTACAGACTGTTCTGCTTCCCGTCTTTATTTCCCCAAAGTGTAAAACTGGAGTTTTAAAATGTATCCATAAGAGTTTTAAAAGTTGATGTTCATTTATTATTCTAATATATTTAAAAGTATTCACAGCCTACAGATAAATGACTACATTATTTTTAAGTGGTATAGTTGTATTTAATGTACTGTAAAGACAGTTCTCATTTTGCATGGCAGTGCAGCCCATAAAAAAAACTGGGCAAGTGAGCTTAATAATTAATGGGAAAACTAATGATTTTTTTCCCACATCTTCTACAAATTTTTGTCAAACCTTTAAAAATTTCTCTTACTGCCTGTTATAAATGTATAGGAAAAATTAAAAATAGTAAAATAGTATTTGTTTAGTACATTGCAATTTAAAATATTACAAACATTGAGAACTATAAATATGTTATTCCTTTATAAAAACTTATTAAGAGTGGTTGGATCAGGGCTTGCCTTCTTCTTGACATAAAACTTATGTTACAGAGTGAGCATTTTTCCTGTGTCTTGGCAAACTGGTAAACTACTAAGTTTGGATCAGCTTTCAATTTTTCAGCATTCATTCCTTTAATGTCAGTTGTTTTGCTTATGTCACTTCCTCTGGACCATCTTCATCCTTTTTGTCAAGGCCACTTTCCTTCTTTATTAAGGCAGTAAGAGGAAGCTCACCATATGGAGTTCTTCTGGCTGCATCTCTGGAGTCTTGAACGGTGGCAGGGTCAGTTTCCATAGTCAGTTGTTTCTTCTATAACTCTGTTTATGTTCGGTTTGAATTTTACAGCATTATGACTTTCTGTTTCTTTGCTGCACTTTCATCTTGGCTAATTTTCTCTTTCAATTGTCCATTTTTATAAGACGTCACATGGGTTTATCACTAGGAGATGAGGAAGCCACATGACTATGCGCTTTGCTGTCTATGCCTATGATGGTAGCTGTTTTTTACACAGTGATCTGTGGGCAGAGGAGCTGGCAGTGAAGTTGTACTTTCAGGTTGTAGTTGTTCACAGCTCACATACTGAGGATACTGAAACTTGCACATGTCTGAACCATGCAAGGCAAGACCTGCCTGTGCTATAAATTGGAAAGTGTACAAATGTTTGACAATGATACTTCCCCCATTTTACATCATTTGAGAAATTAAACAATTAAAATTTTTTTAAGTGTTGTAAAAATAGATGGTCAAATATTTTCTTTCAGTCCCTGGTTATCTATCCCTCCCCCTACCCAGGTCCATTTAGTTAGGGGTGGATGTGAGGCAGGTAGCAGTGTTTCCCTGGGGCTGTGGTTCTAGGAACCTCAATACTAAGTTTGAGAAACCGGAACTTAGGCTTAGTTGAGCTTGAATGAAAGGCTCTTTGAGTGCTAAATCACACTTTGTTTCTTCCTTTAGATCGACATAGAAATCAATGGCAATGCAGTGGATCTTCACATGAAATTGGGTGACAATGGAGAAGCTTTCTTTGTGGAGGAGACTGAAGAGGAATATGTAAGTTCTTGTGGGTCACATTCACTTTACACATTGTGCTCAGGCCTCTGGTACATGTCTCAAAACAGAAATGTTCAGCACTTTTCATTGCTGGTTGTACAAATGATTGTTGCTGGTGAGACAAACTTTAGTTTTAGGTTGAACTAAACTGTCGAAAAAGAGCTGGAGAGATGAGGGACTTTTCTCCACACCAAGTTTCAAGGTACAGAAGAGCGTAAAGTAAGCCTTTGTGCTTGCTCTCTTTGTAAGGGAAGGCACTTCTTTTCAAACTTTAATGAGCTTTCTTATTTGGTGTCAATTACAGCTTACACCTTGCCTTCTGTACTTTCAGTTTCTCCTGAGCAGTTAAGGCATATCTATTCTGGCTGTGTATGTATACACATGTGACCTTTAAACTTGGAAAACATTTTTATCATTTTGGCTAGGGATATTATTACACCCCTAACCTTGAATAGTCACATGAATTAATTTATTACGATCTCAAGCAATTAAAATTAGTTGACCTATATACTTTATAAAAGGTAACATGTTTGGCTTCTTTCAGCAAGAAAATACAATTTGTCATGTCCTGCACTCCCCAACATACATACTTCTGTGTATCTATTGATTTGAACAGTGGTAAACCTTTCTTGAGGGGTTTAATGGGTCTTTTAAAAAATTCTGTAGAAGGCATCTTTACATCTTTTTCCATAAAGAATAAAACCTCAAATAGCCAAAATGATAAATGTCAAGTTATTAAGGATACAGGACTACGTTTTTTTGGTTTTGAAGATGAACTGCCAGTTTGGGGTTACAAATTTCACAAAGAAAAATATCAAGAAACAATAGACAATACCAAAATGAGATTATGTGTATCTTTTTTTAGTGTAGTGAGAAGCCAACAACTTAGGTACCAGTATTTAAAGCAGCATTGAAATAGTGTGATTTATGAAGAGGAACTTTACCAGACCAGTGCTTTTCTTAGTATCTTAATTGCTTGTTTTTATATTACCTTGTTTGCATTTACTTGGACTAAACAAAATTTTCTCTCATCAGAGACAGTCAAGAAGCAGAATGAACATAATAAATAACAGTTGTCACTGATTGGATTTTGTGTAAATCAGCAGATACTGTAAGAAAGAGGACCGGGTTATTGATAGTTTGTTACTTAGTTGTCGTCTATTCTGATGGTTCCATTAAAAACTATTCTTAGGTCTAGTGGGAGAATGTCAACTTTCCAGCTTTTATTTCCTATTCCACATATGACCAAATTGACCAGATTTTCTGTAGTGAAATATTTTTATTTCTCTTTGAAATAAAAAAAAAAAATTGTTAATTCATTTAATAGACATTGGAATTACTACTCTATGCCACATACTATGAATAAAATATTGCAGCCCCCCCACCCCGGAGTTCATGATTTAGAGGAGAATAAAAATTAGTAAAAACCCATCTGGCTGCCATTGATTTGCTTTTTGTTTCTCTCAAACATTTCACATTAACTATATGTCATTGACATTCCTTTCAAGTCAATCAGTCTAAATCTAACCCTGTCCTTTAAAAAAGTAGCAGTACAGTATTCCATAGTGTGGATATAATACAATTTATTAACCCTTCTTGTACTGATAGGCATTCAGGTTATTTTCAACTCCCCCTCCAGACCCCAAGCAAACATATCTGTAAATAGAACTAGGAAACATCACCAGAAACAAAACAGCTTTCAAGAAGTAAAGTAAACAAAGACCATTGAATTAAAAGTCAGAGACTGTAGGTTCTCATTTGGATGCCTTGGGGACATTCAGAATATCTTATCACAGTTTCTCTGTAAGTATGTTGCTGGTGAACACAAATTTCTCCTAGATAAACAACACTACATCTCAGGATAATATGTTACCAAAGCTAAGTTCAAAAGCTTAGTAAACAGCAGTTATAGAAATCCACACATTTTTAGGACTATTGTGTAAAAACTTGAGTATTCTAAACTACATGACGTTGATTTGTCTGTGTTACCTACTTTCCATTTCCCTTTGATGATACAAAGGAATGAAGCAAAAGGCTAAGAAGGTTATTTACTGTTCACCAAACTTAGTCATTTTTTCATTAGATTAGGAGCTTACTTCTAAACATTGGGCCTTCATTTTTATTTTGAATTTCTAAAAGGATATGTTAAATGTTATGATTTAAAAACGTACTAGTATATTTTACAGGGTATTGTCTCTCCATAATCACCATCTTCCATCCTCAATTGCTTTAGGAAAGCATAAGCATTAGCCACTGTAAATTCACTGTAGTTCCTCACTTCACTTGCCTATCCTGGTGCCCTTTGTCCTATATGGTGTCCTAATCTGCCTTCTGCTTTATATCCTGTTCTTGCTGTTCTTTGTAAGTTCTTAACAGAGTCCTTTGTAATGCCTTCTCAGAATGTTGCTGCTGCTGCTTTGAACTTCTCCTTGCAGAGAATTTAATTGGCTCTGCTTTAGCTATAGCTTTTGTTCCATGCCAACCTGGAATATCACTTCCTCCCAATGTACTCGGTTTCTTGTACTGAAATGAGCTATCACTTAGTGTGTCTAAACGGTAGAGCAGGCGGTGCCTTAGTTCAGTGACTTTCTTACCTTTAGGGAATATGTATTCTTTCTACCACTGTGAACGTTTATATACTCAAAAATTAATTAATGTTCTGGTTCACTGTTGAGTTTGTCATGAATAACTATTCTTTCCCCTCATTCTCCTTAAGGAAAAGCTTCCTGCTTACCTTGCCACCTCACCAATTCCTACTGAAGATCAGTTCTTTAAAGATATTGAGACCCCTTTGGTGAAACCAAGTGGAGATGAAAGACCATCCCAGAGTTCAGACATCTCACACATCTTGGAAACGGAGACAGTTTTCACTCCAAGTTCTGTCAAAAAGAAAAAACGAAGGAGAAAGAAATGCAAACAGGACAGTAAGAAGGAAGAGCAGGCTGCTTCTCCTGCTACAGAAGACACCTGCGACGTGGGTGTGAGCTCTGAGGATGAGAAGGGAGCCCAGTCTGCAAGGTAGGGCTCTCCTCCTGGGAAGGGTCTGGTGCAGGTACCAGGCATCCGCTCATGCTGTGGGTAGAACGCAGGGAAAGCCAGAAGCTGCCTTCTTCTATGGATACAGGGTGTGAGGTTTGGACTCATTTCTCCCCTTGACAGTTTATTGTGAAACAAGTGGGAGAGGCACTTCTGATCTATCGGCAGCTCTTCAAAATTTGCCATCAGACGTCCTGCTATGGTACTAAAATGTCATTTGTAGCAGACTGGTGGTGTGCCTATTTCCATCCAGTAAGTTTACAAAAACCAAATAGATCATAAGTGAAAAGAAGGTCTGCGTTAATGACTTGCCCCTGGGTGAGCCGATACAGGTGGGCACGTCATCTGTGGAATTTCCCTACCCGGTGCTCTTGTGCTTGGTAGCTCACGTGTTCCTAAGAAGGTTAAAGTTTTGTTTTTAAAATTTTTGTTGTTTTTTGGGGGGTTTTTTTTGTTTTTTGTTTTTTCCCTTCTATTTCTCTCCTAACTTCTACCAATTCTGTTTTACCTCCTCATTTTTTTTTGGCTATCAACTCTGTTGTCTGAGTTCTTGTATTTTTGGTTTAAGGGTTCCCTTCATTGCTAATTGCTTTATTAAATTTTATTTTTTTTAAAAAAATACTATCCATTATTTGCTATTTAGTTTTCAAATTTCCTTGTTTGTCTCATAATTTTTTTAAGAACAATTTGTTCAATAGAGGATCCTAGTAAGGTCTATACATTGCAATTGATTGATGTGTGTCTTAGGTTGCTTTTATTGTAGAGATTCCCTTCTGAATCTTGTTGTTTTCTTGTTATGGTCTTTTAATTTATTTGATGAAGAAATGAGATCATTTGGTTATGGAACTTCCAACAGTCTGCACTGTGTTGATTGTATCTCTGTGGTATCATTTAACATATTCATCTATACCTTCTATTTTCTGTAAATTTCTACTTAGATCTAGAAGCTTGATTGGATTTATGTTCTTTTGTTGGTTGGTTGTTTCGGAGGAGGATGAAATTACTTTATAGTTAAGTATTTCCTTTAGTAGGCATATAAAATGTCTGGTTGTTTCTCTTTGTTAGCAAGCGTTGATAATTGTTATCTAGAGTCATGTATGTCTGAGAGAATGCAAAGTAGCGAAATTCTAATTCTATTGTTTGTTCTTCATTTATTAGTGGAATACTTCTACAAAGAGAAACTTTCCTTAATTATTTAACAACTTTAAGGTACAATTTGTATAGGAAAATCAGAATAAATGCTTGATTATTTTCCCTTTTTATCAGTGTTCAACAAATGAGTTATTTCTCTTGCATCCTGCAAAGTGATCAATAAGTTTTAAAATTGTAATTATAAAATTATTGATTTAAAAACATTTGGGTTTTTTTTTTGTTGTTGTTGTTGTTGTTTTGGCAGCTGGCCAGTACAGGGATTAAGCCCTGGATCTTGGTGTTATCAGCACTGCACTCTAACCAACTGAGCTAACCGGCCAGCCCTAAAAATATTGGCTGTGTTTTAATCCATGGAATTATCTCTTTTGTTGAAGCTCAAATTATTCCATCTTTCACAGGTGAGAGTTTCTTCAGGTTAGCTCCTGAATCCTTTTGACACAACACCTAGCAATCTCATAATTTGTATGCTTTTTAGTGTAACAAGATGTTCCAGGCTCATCTTGGATACTTCCTACCCTAGACAAGTAATTAGCCATTTCTTCATGAAATGCTGATTCTATTTGGTGGCAAGTGGTATTTAGAGACTTCAGTCTCAGTGCTAGGAATACCATTGCTATTGGGTGGGTTATTATTTTTAAACTTTTTCAGCAGCCAAAAAAGGAAATAAAAATTTTTAAAGATAAAACACATCCTGCATTCATATAGATCCTTCCATTTCACATTAAGAACCACTGAGTTGTTAACCCAACCTCATTGATCTTACATACATATATATATCTTTCTTCTGTGTTGAAAATTCTGGTTCTCAGTTTCACCGACATAATTATTTATTTGCTTTATCCCATAATTCACGCAACAATACCAATAATACCATCAAAGTCTGGTTAATAAAAAGTTTTAATATTATTTTACAGTTCTTTTTATTTTTAGCGTCTATACCATTAGAGATGTATAGTCAAATCTTGTGTTTTGTGGTCACTTGAAAAAGTTCTTCTCTGAGGCCGGCCCGGTGGTGCACTGGAGAGTGCGCCACTTGGGAGTGTGGCGGCGCTCCCGCCGAGGGTTCGGATCCCATGTGGAGACCGGTTCCCGCTCACTGGCTGAGTGCGGTGCGGGCGCAACACCGAGGGTTGCGATCCCATTGCCGGTCCCCGGTACGGGCGCGACACCGAGGGTTGCAATCCCGTTACCGGTCAGTAAAAAAGACAAAAAGGAAAAAAAAAAGACAAAATGTAAACAGTCATGAGAGTTCTGAAATAAGTGCTAAGCCAGAAGGGAGACAGACTGGGTCCATTATAGTTCATGATTGTGGGACAGTCACCTCTTCATCTCTCGGGGCCTTGGTTTCTTAACCTATAAGGTAAGAGGATTGAAGTACATGGTTTGCAAGACCCCTTTTAGCTCAGCATCTAGATCCTAAAATAATTTGAGGGAAGATATTTAGGGTCATTAACAGCATATTAAACAGCATGTTGAAGAATCTGAGGGAACAGGAAGCTGACAGCTTTTGTAGCTGTGAGGTCTAGGAGTTGTGTGGGATTGGGGAGTTGGCAGCTTTCATATAACTTTTTCTCCTCAGCCTCTACCACTTAGGAAAGAAATTCTGTTTCTGGAGAAGATACAAAAAATGGGTTTTTATTATGATAAATGGCAGTCTACTCTTTTGGGGGGTACTCTTTACTTGTCAAGAATTTTATTGATAATAGGCTTCTTGAAGGAGGCAGATGAAAGAGGGAATCATTCTTTAAAACAGGTTGCTGTTGCACGGCTATAAGAAACTCATTTGTGGAAATTGGAGAGCTTTAAAGTACACAGGGCTTTGTTTAAACTCTACGTAGTGAGTCTCTCTCCTTTGCTAAAGATGGACTTTTGGCTTGAGTAAAGCATGGAAGCCTTGTTTGTCCTTCCAGAGGATAGATGGGTATGGGTGGGTGGGTGTGTATGTGTGTGCGAGTGGTTTTGTTTTTTGTTTTTTTGTGTTTTTTTGGGTGGCTGGCCGGTAAGGGGACCTGAACCTTTGGCCTTGGTGTTACCAGCACCGTGCTCTTACCAACTGAGCTAAATGGCCATCCCCGTGTGTGTGTATTAAAAACATTGCACCTAGACATAGTTAGCTTTTTGGAGGGAAGAGATGGTGTTCAAAATTGGAGGGTATTATAGTACAATCTTGAGTACCACTAGACAGAACATACCACTGGTGGAAGTACTTCATATACTCAGCAGTAGCAAAAGGATCAGGAACAGACCATCAAAAAGGAATCTCAACTTTTGGGCCAGCCCGGTGGCGCACTGCGCTAGTGCGCCGCTTGGGAAGTGCGGCGGCGCTCCCGTCAAGGGTTCGGATCCCACATACAGACCGGTTCCCGCTCACTGGCTGAGCGAGGCGCGGGGGCAACACCGAGGGTTGTGATCCCGTTGCCGGTCCCGGTCCGGTACGGGGGCGACACTGAGGGTTGCGAACCGCTGCCGGACACGGAAAAAGACAAAAAAAAAAAAAAAAAAAAGGAATCTCAACTTTTAATCCACTAACGTAGACTTGCTTAAAAAGTTGTATGTGGGAGCTAAGTCCAGGGAGCCTAGGACTTTTCACAGACAGCGTCTCTCATCCTGATGCATCTCCTGATCAGTAACTGGCTTCCAGAGAACCTTCCATGGTCTTCTGTAGTGCATGCAGATATTCTAGGTGACATGGATCTCACAGGCACTTTCTGCCTTTCCTGCACTTCATTTCTGATACAGCAAACAGAGAAGCATTTCAGGGCTCCACTCAGTCTGCTGTGAGGTATCTTTTATGGGAAATGTTCTATATCCAAATGCAAACTTGGATCATTAGCCACACTGAAATTCATTGACTAATACTGTACTAAGGTTACTGATAAACATTGTTAGCAGAAGCAGTGATCTTTGACCATGGTAGTTAGCAACCCCATTTATTTTTTACATAATACCAATTAAATAGTTTAAAACTCATTTAGCATCTATAATCTATCCCACATAAATAATTTAGGCTATTTATTTTATCTCTCTATTGGTTTTTTTCCTTCACTTTTTTTTGAGGTATAATTTATACACAACAACATCCACAGGCCTTAAGTGTGTGGTTCAATGAATTTTGACAGTTGTATACATCCATGTAACCTCTGTTAGTTTTTGGTTGAGATAAATGTCAGTTTGCAGCATGATACTGAATCTAAAGAAGTCGGGGAGCACATGTGAAGGCTGACGTGTTCTGTGCACACTGATTATGAACTCCGGCAACCATAAGCCCCCAATCCCGACTGCAAGTTAAACTGTTTAGATCTTCTGTTCAGTGCTGATGTATATATTAACATTCCTGTGTTTTAATGCAGGTATTATCAGTGATCATACTGTTTTCCTCACATTCTAATACGTATACTCCCTTAAATCCTCATGTCACATGTTTGGTTCAGCTTGCTCTATCATGGCCTGCCTCACTGGTCCCCTATTCTCAGGCACCTAAATGTGCCATTTGAAAGTGCTTAACAGGTTTTTAGAAGTCCTGTTTTTTTTGTTTTTTTTTTTTTCCCCTTTTTGTCTTTTTTTTTTTCGTGACCGGCAACGGATCGCAACCCTCAGTGTCGCGCCCGTACCGGACCAGGACC